CAGACAGACAGACAGACAGACAGACAGACAGACAGACAGACAGAGTCTGTTTTGTGTTGCTTATATGTATGATTTCAGAACTGACCACTTGGTATTTTATAACTAATTAGGGGGCTAATCCCTGGGGAAGAACAGTTCTCCCACTTTTGGTAGGCATTAGTTACCTGTAACTTTTGTCTAAGGGTGAAGCCCTGTGAGATTTCCCCCTTCCATATTAGAAGGCCTGTTAGTGCCCTCCTTGTTCAGGTCTTGTTTATAACTATTTGTTAAAGTGAAGGTTCCCTAGTATTTCTAGTCTGTGCTGTGAGATACAATCTCACAGCGAACTTCTTGTTCCTATGGTTCTTAAAGTTTTTTTGCCTCCTTTTCTGAAAAGTTCCCTGAGATTTGGTGCAAGAGATGTGTTGTAGATACATCCATTGAGGCAGGGCAGCTCACGGTCAGTTGTTCTCTATACTTTGGGTTTTTGTTGTGGTCTCTAACTACTGTACAGAGAGGCTTCTTTGATGTGAGGTGGGAGATACGCTTATCTGTGAACATCAAGATAATTATTTAGAATGCAGTGAGGATTTAGCTCTACTGGTCAAGTGGAGTGACAGTAGTCAGTTCTCTTCTAAGCTCCATGAACTCACTACTCCTAGGCAGCTGGCTAGGTTTCCAGACCACGCATGGTTTCCCTTCTGTTTAGTCAGTCTTAAGTCCAATTAGAGAGCTGTTGGTTACTGCCAACATATGACTGCCACTATTGCAACCTTAGATATAGTCTTGCAATGCTGATGGTCATTGTTCTTCAGAGCTATTGATTGCTTCACCTTTTTACCAGTTTGTGTAGCTCCCTTTGGTATTATGAAAGCTAGTCCTTGGAGGGAGACTTTCCATTGAATACTGCCATTTCTCCTCTCTAGCCCCCCCCCCATGGTCCTTATTTACTTTCCTGGTTTTTATCAGTTACTCCAAGTTATATACTCACATCTTAAGATTTAAATCTAGGAATTACATACAAAAGAGAACATAGTAAGTTTTTTTTTCTTTCTGAGTCTAGGATATCCCGCACAATATATTTTTAATTCCATCCATTTACCTAAAAATGTCATTATTTTATTTACTCTTTTAGCTGAATACTATTTCACAGTATATATGTATACATTCTCATTATCCATTGGTCAAGTGAAGGACATTTAGGTTGTTTCTGTGTCCCTAAATATTGTGAATAGAGCAACAATTAGCATGGTTGAGCAAGAATTGGTAAAGAAAATATTATATAATTTTAGACCAGAGCAAATGAGATAGTATAAGCATTTGTTGATATAACTATAAGAGGATTTCAAAATAGAAATTTATCTACTCTATAGTCTGAAACATAGCCATCCTGACCACTACTGATATAGAATTGTCATAGGCTATCATAATGTAAATTCCTACCTGAAAAAAAATATACATTGGGTGTTAGTTTTTAGCTATGCACTATGTTATATTTACTAGGAAAGTAGTGTCCAATTATAACCAAAAAATGCCCATTGCTTTGGGAAAACGGGTTTTGATAAAACCCTCACTTCATGTTATGGCAGCATAGCTCTATAAAAACTCATGTCCAGCTTTTAAAATTTTACAATTAAGTACTTTAAATATAGCATATATAATGCCTTAAGCTATGATATTACCTCACAAGAAATATTTAATGCAATCAGTGTCTGTTATATCAAAGCCTGATCAGGTTAGAGGATAGACAATGTTCTTGAACTTATACCTACATCAATGAAAGACCGTTAGGACTAAGGGACCTCAACCAAAGCAAAGAGGGAGTGAGCAGGATATAAACACATATGTGCATGCTCACCCAAAGCACACACTTTCCACTATTTGGTTAAATCATATTTGTGCCACCAGCTTCATAAATAGTGTCCTATTGCAGCTGAGAGAGACCTTGGCTGGAACGCATACAGTCTCTCCAGTTCTCCTTTAGAAAATCCACCTCCAGTGTCAGCTCACCACTTCCATATCTTCTTCTAGTAGGAGGTTTTGATGACTGACACCTGCATATTATCAGTTTACAAAGCGTCTTTTCTTTCATAGTCAGATAGATCCATCACTACAACCTGGAGTTTGTTTGGTTTTGGGTTTTTTGTTTGGTTGTTTTGTTTTTGTTTTTAAGAATGTAGTTAGGAATAGATAAAACTGAGGCTCAGAGAAACTAGACTAATATTTTCTAATTTTGCATGGCTCATGGAACCAACAGAGATTTCATTTCATAGGGCTGAGGATTAAGGCCACAGCCCACATGCAGGTCAAACGCTCTACTGCTAAATCGCATCCCCCAACAGGAATCTGAACCATGGTTGTCTACTACACTGCCACCATGCATGCTGCCTCCCTGTAGATTAAATGACTAAAACTTCAATAGGTTATTATATTCCACTTTAAGAACTCTGAGTATAGTAAAATAATAATGTGTACTACAGTATTTTATCTAAAAATAAAAAGGTTTCCAATCCTTAAGTTGCTTTTAAAGATTTAATGTCAGCATACAAATTTCATAACATTTTGTGGATTAATATCATCTTTATTGATTTCCCACCACTATAGAGCACCGATGTTTATCTACAAACCACAGAGTAAGAAAGTTTTTGAGGGAGAGTCAGTGAAACTTGAATGCCAGATCTCAGCGATCCCTCCACCCAAACTTTTCTGGAAAAGGAACAATGAAATGGTTCAGTTCAACACTGATCGGATAAGGTGAGACAAGACTTTCCTGAATGACATGTACACTTGTTGGATGAATCTAGTTATACTTTTACACAGGTTATAAATTACACAATTACAGCCTTGGGTTGTCTGTTCTTAAAAATACAGATTTAAGTCCGATTCAAATAGTCCTAAAAATAAGGCATAAAAGAGCCTACAGTTTATATTTTTGTTGACAATAAAAAAAAACATGGCTACAAGAAATAAATGACATGAAAAGATTAAAAGGGAATTTTGTGGGAGGAGAGTCTGTGTATATGAGTTTCCTAGAGATTCAGCCTAGGGACTTATGCATGCTAAACAAATACTCTACTATAAAGTGATACCTCCATGCACAGGTGGAGTAAGTTTTTAAACTTCAGTAACTACTTGGCATTGATGAGAGACAGTCTTGGGGTTTTCAACAGCCTTTTCTTATTAGTGAAAGTCTACAAGGCAGCAATATCACTTAAACTTTCACCTGGAAGAAAGGAATTTTAATTCCTGTGCCTTTGTTTTTATTTGTTTCTTTCCAGCTTATATCATGATAACTCTGGAAGGGTGACTTTACTGATAAAAGATGTAAACAAGAAGGATGCTGGATGGTACACAGTGTCCGCTGTCAATGAAGCTGGTGTGACCACATGTAACACAAGACTGGATGTCACAGGTATGTCACAGAGCAGCTCAGTTTAACTGGGAAGCTGAGGAGCATCCAGCTCAGCATGGTGTGAACTATGGGGTATTTTCCTCAAAATCATATCTGCCAGTGAGTACCAAGCTCAACTATGTATTTTAAACTACTCTTCTAAATTGATTTATATTCATTTCAGCCCGTCCAAACCAAACACTCCCAGCTCCCAAGCAGCTGCGTGTTCGACCGACGTTCAGCAAATATTTAGCGCTTAATGGGAAAGGTTTGGATGTGAAACAAGCTTTTAACCCAGAAGGAGAGTTTCAGCGCCTGGCAGCTCAGTCTGGACTCTACGAAAGTGAAGAACTTTAGTAACTTTGCCCACAGTGGAAAGGACAACCTCACTATTAGCAATATACGTGATGACTTCGTGAAAAAAAAAAAAGATCCATGGCTGTATTAACAGCTTACAGCTTTACGTAGGTCGTATAACTAACACATATTCAAAATATTATTTATCCTCAGACTCTGGCACAGCCTGTCTACTGCTCTGACCCATGAAGCCAACTGTAAACTGAGTGCATGGATCTGCAATGTAAGAGACTGTCTTAAGTTACAGTTTCTTAGAGCTTAAGTCATGCACATTTAATAGCTACAAGTTATGAATCAAAAACTTTTTTAAAACCACTAATGCTTGCAGTAAAATTTACGGGTATTGCTTAACACATTGATTTATTTTTTTTTTGTAGGAATACTAACATGATATAGATTATCTGAGTGTTCCACAACTTCATGTCAAAAGATAATAAAATTCAAATAGTTATAACAGACTTGTCTCAACCTCACAGAAGTCCAGAATGATCACAATCAAACTTCTGTTTTTGTGTTTTGTGTTTGGTTTGGTTTTTGTTTTTGACTTCTCTTTGTAACAGCTCTGGCTGTCCTGGAACTCTATTTGTAGACCAGGCTGGTCTCGAACACACAGAGATCCACCTGCATTTACCTACTGAGTGCTGGAATTAAAGGCATCTGCAAACACCGCCCAGCCAAACTTTTTTTTCTGGTTTTCATATGTGAGAGAATATTTAGCAAAACCTGTGAATAGTGAATTCCAAAACATGGAAGTGTCATTCCCAAGAAGACCAGGAAGCTCACGGCTCAGGCAATTGCTTCTGAAAATGCTTCCCAAGACTTCCACTTCAAAGGCAACCATGGCAACACCATCATAGTCCTCAATTTGTGATTTTTATGCTGACCAAAATAATTAACTCAGTGGAACAACAGCCATCTCTAAAGGTCATCTCCAGGTTTTGTATATTTAATGTAAATTTCAAGATTGATATTTTCCCTCCCATGTCTTCCAAATTGAGTAACTTGCCATGTTAAATAGTCTAATTTTTGTGAGCCCGTGAGAGTGCAAGTACAGGAAGATACAAATCCTTTCATGAAACTATCTTAAGCTAGAGCAATGCCTTTTTCTTTGCTTCAAGCCTTTGCAGGGTCTCTTCTGTTCCTTCAATGAAAGATGGTTTTTGACCCTCGCTGCTGTACGGCCTACTTTCGCTTTATATCTGCACATAACCATCATTTCTCAGCATCCCTCTCCACTTCTTTCAGGGCTGTAACAAAAGCGGCTTTATCTTTCATTTTCAAAACAGCTCAGTGGTGTTCTCTGTAGGCTACTGTAGGAAACTCTGAACAGAATTCCTCTTTAGTTTCCTCTTGTACAGCTGCAAGAATCCCTCCTGTCCTCCGTCCTGATGGGTTTGAGCTTCCTTAATTACAGCCATTTTTTTTTTCTTTTTCTATAGTTTGTTTACGAATCTTAATAACTTTGCAAAGCTTCTGGGCAAGATATGGGTCTGGGCTCCCAACTCCTATCATATAATTGTAATTCTTAGTGTGTTTATGGATGGGAGCACACGTGTAGAAGTCAGAGAACAACTTACAGAAGCTGGTTCTCTCCTTCTCCCATGTAGGTCGCAGGGATGTAACTCAAGGTTGTCAAGCTTAGTGGCAAGTGCCTTCACCTATTGAGCCACCTTGCTGACCCAGCAACAGCTGAGGAAGCAAGCACTCTTCCAAGTTTTTGTTCTCTGCACATGTGACCTTTTGTAACCTCCCCTTCCCTCTTGAGGAAACTTTTCAACATGGAAAAAGTGTTGCAATTCAGGGGAACAAGCCATACACCAGCATGGAAACCCACCTGGAATGCCAGCATTTTCAAGTTGGAAACTGTATCTCTGGAGCAAGCTGGTTAACTAGAGTAAGATATGGAGCCCCTGCCTGTATATGTGAGTGGGTTAACCAGAGTAGAATATGGGTATCCTGCCCACATATATGAGCTGGATAACTAGAATAATATATGGAGAACCTGCCCACATATGTGAGGTGGAGAGTGACCAAGAAAGACACCTAACATCAGCCTCTGGCCTCCTTATACACATATGTAGACTTGTACTTGCACATTCATGTGTACCCACACATGTGAACATATAAACACATATAGATAGCATTTACATACACATGCAAACAATGGGTTTTATATATATTTCTGACAGTTAAGCTATATACTCATGTAAGAATCTGAAAAAATACTTGATGATTATATACAACAATATATAGAATGATTAATCAAGAGACGGAGAGAGGGGCTCCTAATATTTTTTAAAGCACACTATAGCATTCTTGTAAAGTGGGAAGCATATTTTATAAATGTAAGGCTAAATTTATGCAGCTCTATGAAAATAGTCTGAAGTCCCTAGAATAGTGTGCATAGATAAATGCTATTAGTTTTACTGATAGGACAGGACAGTTCTAGCAACAAAGCAATGATCTATATTATCTAGGAAATCTGGCAGTTGGGAACCACCTATTGGTTTCTCTGGGTTATTCTTTGTCCTTGTGTCTAAAAAGGCCCAGATCAAATTTACATGGCTTAGAATTTATCGATCAACCTTTGTACATTACTGAATGTCATATTTGCAAGTTCCTGTAGAATGTTCAAAATGAATGGAAAGCATCTTCTGCACTCCCAAAAAACGTAAAATCTAATTCTATAAATGAGACCAACAGAGAAGACCAGAGCTCAGTGTGACTTTACGTGTGTGTTTTGTGCCATAAGGACTTAGAAGTCTGGAGATTTGAGCAGGCTGGAGCAGCACTTGGCAAAGCTTCATGAGGCAAGATCTGAACTAGGATGTAAAATAAGAAGAATGCATTCCGCTGTGTAGATGAAACTTAAAAGAAAGACTGTCCTCGTGCTTGAAGGTGAAGAGATAGCTCAGTTGTTACAAGCACTTGCTGCTGTTGTGGAGGACCAGCGTTCAGTTCCCAGCACCTACAGGGGAGCCCAAAACTGTTGGTAACTCTAGTTTCAGGGGATCTGGCATCCTTTTCTGGCCCCTCTGGGCACTGCATGGACTTAACACATGTTCATAAATGCAGGCAAAACCGTCACATTCATAAAATAGATTTTTTAAATATTTAAAAATAAGGATTTACTCATGCTGTATTATTATTCCAGTCTGAGAAAGATATTCTTCCATCAAGTCTCAGCACTGGATTTCACAGCAGCTTAACTTACAAAACATTTGGTTAGTGGGGAAGTTAAGGGTTTCAGAACTAATTACTTAGCTCCTTCCCTACCCCAAGTTCTGAACAAACAGAATGCCAAAATGGGTGTAAGGATACTATCTGGCCCATTTGAGTCTTATGTCACTTGTAGGAAAGAGCAAAACCTCTCTTAAAATGTGCAGAGAGGAAAACAAGATCTTACTGAACACACACTAAGCCTTAGCAACTTCAACAGCTAGTGACTTGGAAAGTCAGCATTGGCATGCACATTCTCTGCCTTTCTCATTCTTGCTTCTGATTTCTTTTTGGTTTTGTTCTATATCTCTTCTCTGTGTTGTGTGGTTTCCACTGTTTACATACATGCACACCACCTGTAATGTTAGTTAATAGCCATTAAAATTCTAGGTATACTCTCCTTTGTGCTTACAACTCATTTCTTGAAATTTACACCGTAGGGACACACAAATGAGCAAAAATGAAATATAAACACACACACACACACACACACACACACACACACACACACACCTGAAAGCAATTCAAATGTTCAGTAACATGCTACTGTACTCTCAGTAAAGCAGAGTTAGAGAAACAGGTAAAGTAGGAGGCTGCTGCTCTCTAAGATGGCTGCTTCTCATAGAAGATTTTATGAGAAAAACTGGCAAGAAGGCACAGGGCCAGGGCCAGGTGTTTAGCCAGGAACAATAGGGAGACAGGAAGGACCCAGAAGCCCTATAAAACACTAAGGCATATGTCCATTTACAGGACATGGAGCCTTAGACTTTCCCCTTCCTGAAAGTATAAAGTTTCTACTTTTCATTTCTCTGTGGCTTGATTGTATTTCCCAGATGTCCGTGTTGTTGTTGCTGTTCCTGCCAACAAGGGCAGCTCGCAATGCCCTAGACTGGCTCACTCCTGCCACCCCTTACATCAGTATTTGAAAAGTTAAAGACAGGAGGATAGCTTCAGCCGAGGATTCAGAAACAAACCTGGGCAACACAATGAGATCCAATAAGTAAGTAAATAAATGTAAAAGGCTAGGAATATAACTCAGTGACAAAGCACTTGCCTAGCATGCAGGTGACTCTGAGATCCAGCCTTGCAAACTGCTGAGTTTCTGAAACAAGGTTTTACTATGTAGTCTAGGCTTACCTGAATTAAAGATCCTCTTGCCCCAGCCATGGATCTAATTCCCTCTTCTTGTCTATTCATATACCAGACATACATGCAGACAAAATATCCAAACCCATAAAAAAATTAAATTGAACAACAAGCTATGATGACTAGTGCAGTGTATATACATCTTGGATAGGCTTCTGAGCCAGATTCGAAGGTATTTTGCTTTTGCTATAAAAAGATATTAAAGGGATAATTAGTAAAATTTCAATAAATTAATTGATTTGTTCAGTCTTATAGCATGATCAAATGTTTGTAGGATTAGGAACAAATGTTTGAACCGAAGAGTAACATGTCTAATTTGGAAATGTAGAAAAGATTGAGCGCCCTCTGCTGGTAACAGCTAAAAAGACTTTTGGTTTTCAGTGCTTCTTGAGTTCCCTGAGTCAGGCAGGGGAAGCCTCTTCTAGGAGAGGAGGTATCAACCATGTGCAGTTAGAGGCAAACTCAGTGGATTATCTCGACAGTCAGTGATTTGAAGAGTATTTCTTGACTTTGCTTGCTGTTATTAAGTAAGAATTCCTTGTTAGGTTGGAACATGCAGCTTGTCCCTGCATATGGAAAGCCCCATTACTGTCTCTCCAAACCCCACCTTCTAAGAGAATCTCCAACAAAGGAAA